TGGTTCTTTGTTACAGCAGCCTAGGAAACTAATACAGGGAGCTGGTGGTCTAATGACCCATCTCCATGGCTTATAGCAATTAATCCACTTATCAAATTACCTTGAGAGTGATACCTATTACCCACATGATCACATTTTTCCATATAGAAAACCCCTTACAGGCCTCCCTTATGACATTTTCTGAGGTGCACAGAGCTAAGGAGAGCAATTATCCCATTTTGCCTGGGACAAATGAAATTCCTGGACATGGGACTTTCAATTTTAAAACTAGGACAGTCCCAGGTAAAGCAAGACGTGTCGGTCACCTTCCTGGTCAGGTCTTTCCAGGGCACAGTTGGGTCCACAGCTACCATCTTAGTTCCCTCAGTTGAGGTGGGTTTACCACAAGAATTGAGGAATTCTGGGCAGAGGAGCTACATGTTGTGACAGAAGGGTGAAAACAACTAAGAGGTCTGCAACAAGGTAAGAGATACCGAATGGATGGAGATAGGGGTGCAGGGAGGGTATGGAGAAGAAGCTGGAAAAGGTGACTGGATCCAATTGCTAAGAACCTCTGACACCATGTTAAGTAAATGTACATCATTCTATCCAGTAAGAAAAGCGGTGGCCTCTCAGAGAGTTTGAAGCAAGAGGGTTGTCATCAGAGCAGATGTTTTAGAAGGATTATCATAACTGATTCATGTTTTTCTTTTATAAAGTTAAAAGAGAGACTAGATATGAAGACCTAAAAGACATACAAACCAACTTCAATATATGGACTTTGTTTGGAACTTGAAAAATTGTAAAAGTAAATTATGAGACAATAAGAGAAATGTAAACACTTACTGCATTACATATTTAATGATATTAAGGAGTTTAAATATTTTAACTGTGGTTTTGCTTTTTTTTTTTTAAGGTAGGGGAGAAGAAAAAGGTATTAATTCAGTAACACAAAGTGAGACAGACAGACAGACAGACAAGAGCATGAGAGAGCGAGCGCTCTGGTAGGCCGTGGACTCTCTCAAACATTCCCCACAGTGGCTGGGGGTAAGGGGTCGAGTGGGGACTTACCTCCAAATTGTCTCTAAAAGTCTCAAC